GACTGTCTAGTCGAGATAAAGAACGGCTTTCGTTATACAAAGTTAATAAATTGGATAGATAACATAAGCTCCAGAATACGAGGGGTAGGCAGGGATTCGGGATTATAATTTACATAAATATAGAACATGAGACTTGTTTACTGGAGAACCGGTAAACAAGTCTTTCCACTGAGGACATTCACAGTTTGTATTCGTAGGTCACAGAGTTGATACGTTATCAATATAAATATATTTTCGCTTAAAACGGTAGCAGCTAATGAATAATAAAAGTAATTTATGTATATTATTGTTATTACAATAATAACATGTATTACTGTAAATTAAAAAAAACATATAAACGTTACATGCACATGTTTTGAATTTTATTTTAGTTTTGAAAAAAAGGTTACGGATTTCCCATCACGAGGTTGGAGGTTCGATTCCCGCCATTCGACTATTGTCGTAAACCATATCCTAGCACAAGCCTAGAGCTTAGTTGGGATGGTAAAAGAAATATTAGTAAATTGACAAAATTATCTTTGATAGGAAAATGATAGCATTTTACATCAAAACCTTGTAAAACCTATATACGTCTACAATTGCGGACAATGTTGATTTCAAATTTAATTTAGATTCAACCGTAATGTATGTTTATTGCGAAATTTATTATTAAATCCATTCATATCTGGCCGTCGACCAAAAGCAACATTTCATAAACAGATCAGTAAAAGATTTTTCTTGTACGGTAAAAGCTGGCCAGTGATCCTGGTCTCCTGATGTAATTGACCATAGCTATTCTACGACATTAATTAGAACTGCCTTAGAAGAAAAAAACCCCAGATCGTTCGAAACTCTATAGTGTTTAAGCATACTATTCCGTAAGGTCAAACAAACCATTTAGAAGAAAAGTACTAGCTCTACTTTTGTTACGTGTAAAGGAATAACCTAGATTCGTTTTGATCAGAGGCACTTACCTGTGTGTCTACCCATTTCTTTCCTTGAGGAGTATCAACTACGCGGCCGTAGAAGTTGACAGGCAGCATGAACTCAGGGCGGGCCTTCTCCCAAGGATTACCATACCGTAACCAATCATCAGGCTCCTCCTGTTGCTCACCATTTTCTATCTTCTGCGCGAAAATACCGTATTCGTATCTTATACCTATAACGATAAACATATTTTGTTTTGAATAACACAATATTTTGAAATTCTTTGATAACTTGTTATGGAAACTCTTCGGTTTACTTGTAACGAAAACAAACACTTGGATGTTTTTCAATTAATATCAGAGATGAAATTCAATGCAATGAGAAAGTTCACTCGTTTAGTAAGATTATATACTATGAAGTATTATTGTCTTGACCACAGCAAAATGTGGTGAGGGTCAACTTTACCACTGTAGACCTCGCTTCTTACAAATATTATAAATGCAAAAGTTCAGATGAATGGATGTTTGTTAGAAAGTATCTCCAAAACAGCTACATTGATTTCGATGAAATTTCGCATAGATGTAGAGCACATAGGCTACTTATTAAGTTTTAATAATTCCGCGCAGACGGAGTCGCGTGCGGCAGCTGGTTTACAATAAAATTACGTGCATAGAAAATTACACTTCAATAGTGATTAGTTCTTTTATAACTTGGTTGAAGGTTAAATTTTAATTGCATTATTAGAAACTCTTTCAGTTGCGAAATATTCGACATTATCGTATGTTAGAATTTAGTAACAGATGATTTTATATACGCGAATCACGTAATAGACTAAGTTTTGCCTTTGCACTAAACAAATGTATAATTATAATAGAATCAAATTACTTCTTCCAACATATTATGGATTAATAAATCTCGATAGAATAAAACTGTCTGAAGCATTTATTTATTAAAAACTAAGTAGATTAATAGTTATATTGTTATGATCACACCAAAAGGTGAATGTCCTGCGTGTTTCGCTTATCAAATGTAAGTGCTAATAATAACAATAAAAATACATTGGCAAAACACATAAAGGGTGTTTTCCTTTTTAAAACGGTTCGTCTTATATGACCCCATTTACAATTGATATATATATACAAACGTTTCAGTGTTCACGGAGACTCAATTAGTCCGTTTATAACTGGCGATACGCCAACGTTACTTTTGTCAGCTTGCAATTGCTTTAACAATGTACCTGTGTTGAGGCACCAGTGTTATTTTATTATTAATGTCTCAAAAGCTTTATGTATTTTAACTATACCAAACTTTTTTAGACTAGAATGATATACTACATTTTCCTAGATCATCTATACTTATGGTTTTATAGACAAGAAACTTCTCATTTAATTCTCGTGAATACGACCGCACAGAATTAAAAAAAAAAATAGTAGAAGTAGCATATATGTACTAGAGCAGTGCCGAATTTCAACCAGATCCATGCAGATATTTCTTATAATCATTCATCCATGCAAACATTCGAATTTATAATATTAGTAAGAAGTTAGGATTATATAAGAAGATCTAATTGTTTGTTCCGAAATAAAACTTAAAATTATTGAACTGATCTTAACAATTATTTTATCAATAAAACATGAGTCACCATGATGTTTGTCAAAATATGTGATTTTTTTTTTATATCATGAGGTGGCAAACGAGCGAGCGGCCACCTGAAATAGCAATTGCATATGCGTTGCCTACCTTTAATCGACGGAGGATAGGATGCGCAGAAAGAAAACATTTCCATGCATCCTCTCATCCGAAAAGTCCACTTCCACTTCCCATCCTTTTCTTATAAGAAAAAGTGCAGGAAGGGGAAGAGGACTAAATTTGGCCTCCGGGATGCACTATTTTCATTTGTATATACTTGTGTGATATTTGTAAAACTAAGAGATATTTTACTTAGAGAAATCTTATATCTGTCAAGCTTGAAGGAATTGTAAAGATGACAGGTCACAGTTTAATTACAATATTATTCTCCTTCATAAACCCTTTTCTGTTATAAAGTTTGATAAGAGTTGTTGTGAGTTTTACCATGTTTACAATTATATGAAGACGGTACATAAATTACGCTAGAGAGAGACAAGTAATAAATGATTGAAATTGTTGATCAAATGTATTCAACACTTAATAAACAATACATTTTTTTTCTTTGTGCTTTAATAAACAAAAATTTCTATAACAGAAGAGAATTTTAGTTTACTATAAATGAAGGTTAGGGAAATGGGGTTGTCATTACTTGTATTAATTAAAGTAAATTCCAGCTTGATAGCTTCACGCGTTTTTGAGAAAAAGGGTCTTGACAGAGAGACGGATGGACAACAAAGTGATTCTATAAGGGATCCATCATGTGAAGTATATGATTAGCAATAGATACACCAAATATCATATAACTTACATAGAAGGTAATTTAAAAATTTACACATACAAAAATGTATAATGAAAAAATATCTTACTAATATTATAAATGCGAAAATTTGGATGGATGGATATATCTCTGGGACGGATCAACAAATTATTTTAATAAGGAGTTGCGGGCGATAGCTAGTTTTATTATAAAATTTCTAGTCAAATATGGACTGCTTACCATAACCATATGCTGCCAGTCCAAGTGTGGCCATGGAATCAAGGAAGCAAGCAGCCAGACGACCAAGACCTCCATTGCCTAGACCTGCGTCCTCTTCCAGCTCCTCCAATTCTTCAATATCTAAGCCAAGCTGGTACAGAGCTTCATCCACAGTACCCTGGATACCCAGGTTTATCATGGTATTTTGGAGAGAACGGCCCATGTAGTACTCCAATGATAGATAGTAGACTCTCTGTTGGGAAGAAAATATTGTATAGTCATCAAAACTAATTAAGGTCAATTTAATTGTTATTGAATTTATTTGGCCAGTTTAATACTACAGGAGACTATGTTTCTGCAATTTTGCATTTTCTGTACTACTGATTATAAAATATCTATAGATATATTTCTATATTATATATTTCTGCTGCTATTTAATATTTTTTTACAACTAAATTATAAAACACATAGCTAAGTTCATGAATTAAAAAAGTTCTTTTAAAATAAAACATCCGTCAAAAATAAGCTGTTTTCTTAACATGTGTTATTAAACCAAAATTGGTCATGTCCAACTTTTAAGGCTTGTAGGCAATTACTAACAAATATACATCATATAATTTTTTTATTTGTAGGTAGATTATGAGTTACATAAAATAAAATAAAAAAACATTTTAGACTCACCTTGGGATCTTTTTCATAATAATACTGCTGGGTTCTAATCCAGCGGGAAACCAGATGATCACGGACTGTATGTGCAAGGGCGAAATAATAATCCCTTGGTGTAGCAACATTGCGATCTTTTACCAAAGTATAATGCACATGACGATTAAAAGCCTTTTTCACTTCGGTAACATTTTCTACAGCGACAATGCCGCGGACAGATATCTGCTTACGCTTTTCTGAATCCGTTTGAACGCTCATCGTGATCCAGTCAATTTAGTACTAAACAAACTCCTACGACTGCCTAAGCCCGACTGACTGAGCTACCAAGATGCGGTATCGGTCACCTTGAGAAGGTCAAATATATAAGCTTGACCGCTAAGCGTCAATAAATTAAAGCTCGGCTCTATTGGGTCATGTGACCTTAATTCAAGGCAAATATAGACATTAAATGATTTAACTCTGATTAATTGCTTATTTCAAACGATATTTAATGCTGAAATAGTGCAATTTTTGTTTTGTTACTCGGTATTATTATTTTGACAGTTTATACTGTCACTCACAGCTGACATTGACATGGGGGAAAATGTAGATTATAAAGTAAAAGCAGTCTGGGTTAGACATAATTTGTTTTTTTTTTTAAATTCAATCCACTTGTAGGAAAAATAATAATCAACGAAGGTAAATCAAAATTGGAAAGTTTTAATTGTTAAAATACAAAATAAATGTAGATAATAAAATCTTTTTATACCAAAATACTCGGACTTTTTTTAAAGAAAAAATGTAAAATATCTATAACGTGGTAATGAAGTAAGAAAAACCTTTCATGTTTTTAATAGTTGTATATTTTTAATATAAAATGCACGCTTAAATTCATACATTCGCGTTTATTTTACTATTATACATTGCAATATAATTATTACATTTAAAATGCATTGTCATAATTTCTTATATAACTAGGTGCATAAAGCTGAACAGCTTTGATAGCAGAAACATTTTCTATAGATTTTTTTTATTAAATTACTATATTTTTAAATATTTAAGTAAGAGTTAACAATTTATGTTGTATAATAAAAAGTTTATACGTATATTTGTTTTAAGTATAATAAAACGATTCATTCAAACGGGATATAAAGTATAAGTACATATTCAAAATTATTGAAATTGATCTAACATTATTTTTTATCTGAATTTGATAATATGAAAATATTCGTAAAATGGCACAGATTAAATACATAATTTCGATTTATAATACATAATATAACATATAAAAAGTACATATCTTTAAGTTTTTAAATCATTTGATGAATACAAAAAAGTTAAAACTTAAAACAAGTAACAATTATAATCAAAACTACCAAACACAACATCTTATATACATATATTGTACTTGCAAGGTATGATTAAAAATATATTTAAAGCCAAAAACACCGTGGATTATCACTAGATTCGATTACATAAGCGCAGTAAGTTTATTTTTAATAACAAAATTTATAGGATCATTATTTCTTGTCTTCTATAGGGGAGGATGTGGACGGACATACGTAGATATCTTCAGGATAGATGTCGCCACGTATGCGAATAGCTTTAACGCCATCTGGCGACGCGCGGTATTCCAGTTCACCAATCAGCACATTGTCAGTATAGACTGACCATTCGCCAGGTCCCCGCACTATCCTTATTGTAGTCTGTAATTTAAAATTAATTTAAGGTCTTCGTCACATACGTACACGTAATATTATAAGTGCGAATGTTTAGATGGATGTTTGTTTGAAGGTATCTCTGGATCGGGTCGACGGATCTTGATGAAATTTTGCATAGATGTAGATTACGTTTTTTTTTTTAAATCCGCGCCGACGGAGTCGCGGCCGACAGCTTTTTTTATAATTCAAACTATGTCAGCTCAGTAGCGCCCTCCTGTATCAACGTCAAAAAATCTCACAAGATCCTCTTTGTAGCTGTCACGTTTTTCCTATTATGTCACTTTCTCTCTAAGTAGGTTTCTATATATATTCTGCTAGAACCAACCGCGATAGTAAGCCCATCTCTCATCTGTTTTAATCCAAGTCCAAATATAATCAACTTGACTTTCTTGTACTTTTAAAAGAATAAAACTTTTTACCTCATGGTAATGAGCAAGCGAAATCTTTGCACTGGGGGTGCAGGAAGACACGATTATCGGTGTTCATTTCTCCACTTACAGATCACAACCCTTGTACACTCCCTCCCCATGTATTACGGTATACGTACGTGTGTGGCGGGCACGAGGCGCGCGCTGCGCTGCCTGCGCTCGGGTCCCCAGGCGCCGAGGCTCGCGTTGAGCACGACCAGCTGCCGGGGGAACTGCGCGTCTGAGTGCGCGCGCACGTTCACGTGCAGCAGTATGTTCGCGCGCGGCCACTCGCGGTGCACGTCCATCAAGTCTATCGCGAACGAGTGTAACATTGGTCGTAATCTGGAATTGAATATTCATTACTTATTAAAATACAAACAAACAAATGCATTATAGTAAATCATACGATTGAATACTTTTTATGTTACTATTATTTTTAACTAAATCGAAATTACTTAGGAGCTTAATTCGTTTATTAAAAAAATAATTACCTGCCGTAAATAACTAACTGATATCCTTCGGCAATACCATTTGGCAACTTAGCAATAACATTAGGTCGCCAAATTGGTTCGTCTTGTTGCCGTGGATGCGCGGCGCTATCTCTCGTTGGAATCTATGTAGTAAATAAAAAGAGAATAATAAATAACAGAAACATTACTTAAGGCAGAGACAATGCCAAACTGTTTGATCATTTTCGATGTGACAGCGAATGTTTGGCAGAGTAAGTTCAAGGCAAAATAGTTGAAGAGAAATGTAAAGGTAAAAAACACTTACGTCAAAAACAGGCGGACCTGTGGTAGGGTATATGTCAGTCTTATGTATCTTGAGGTCTGTGTCCCTGATGCCGGTGACCTGCACCCAGCCGGCAGCCAGCGGCGAAGGGTTACGATGCGCAAAGCTGCAGTAGTGTTCGCCATCAACCGCCCAGAGCGTCTCTTTCTCGTCCACCAATACCTCAATCGTGAAGGGACGGTCCACTTTGAAAGGAAATAATCTGGAATAACATTTAAACATTTAGACCAACTGCCGCATTCTCTGCCACAGTCAGAGTAGTTATTGCCAGGGTCTCTCTTAGCGATTAGATTTTGGATCAGTTTGAAAATAGTTACCTAAATGCGGTGGTCTCCTCTGGCCCCCACTTGTCATGTCTACGGGTGTTGCGAACCACGTAATTCTGCGGTAGTCGTACGTTGAAATGTACCGCGATGTCTCCGCGCGTCTCGGGATCCCCAGAGCCAATGTTTATTGCGAACCTTCAATATAAACATGCAGAAGTTCTAAAATTCACGCAAAATATGCGCTAGTCGTATAGTTATGGAAATCTAGCCCTAAACCGATTTATTGGCTAAGGCTGCATGAGATGCAAAATAATATACTACTACAATACATTATAATCTGACTAATAATAAATGCGAATGTTTAGATGGATGTATGGATGTTTGTTTGGAGGTATCTCCGAAAGGGCTTAACGAATTTCGCTGAAATTTAGCATATATGTAGAAAATAGTTTGGAATAACACATAGGCTACTTTCTAACTTCGTTTTTTGATACCGCGCGGACGGAGTCGCGGGCGACAGCTAGTATAATTATATATATCAACAAAATAATTGTCATAAGGTAGCAATCACATTATATTACGAATTTATCCACTGTGGTCTCACTAATTTGGACAGTTTAACTGTGCGACTACAGCGCCAAAACGGATCATTTGGAAACTCAAATTAACGCATCTGTTGCTTGGTTTACACGAGTATCTGTGCTATAAGTCGAGTCAAAAGCGGGTTACGTCGCCTCTGTGCATCGTTGTTCTATGTTCCACGGCTTGCACTTTCGGCATTCAATAATATTGTACAGTTTTTCTAATTGCACAATTATTAAGTTGACGTGTTCGTTTCGTTTGCAGTGAATTAAGATACTTGTTTGAGTTCGTATTCTACTCTTAATTATTTCCACTATAGGAGAGTTGAATGTTTAAATAAGCGTAGGTTATATTATTTTCCAAATTTTTGGTATTTGTATTAGTGTCAATATAATGTCGACGAAATGGAGAAATGATATATCAGAGGAAAGAAAATTCTTATCGGAGTTTATCGATGTATACAAAAGTCTGCCGGCTCTTTGGGATTCTAAAAAGAAAATATATTACGATAGACATAAAAAGAACGCTGCCTATGAAATACTAATTAAAAAATACAGAGAAATGTACCCTAAAGCGACAAGAGAAGATGTTAGAAAGAAAATAAACGTTTTCAGATCAAATTATCGGAACGGACTAAGGAAATACTATGAAGCCTTAAAATCAGCAAAGGATAAGGATTTGGTACCGAAGCCTTCGCTGTGGTATTTTAAAAAATTTAGTTTTTTAAAATTGTCTTTTGGAAATCTAGATATAAATACGGATCCAAGTATTTTTAACAGCGCACGAGATAATTCTGAGGGTATTAATGTTAATACAGAACCCACTGTAAGCATGTTTATTCAACAGTATTGTACAATTATTTGTTATGTTAACCGTGGGTTTCTGACACCAAAATTTCTGGATAAAACATATCGTCATCACTGTCTTTTATCTTGAACAAAAAAGAGATAACAATATGTTTTAAACAGTGATTTGATCTCTGAAACCCACAGTAAGTCGATTAATTTCGGATCAAATTATTGAACAATGATTTTATTAAACCGTCTCGGATATTCTATGAAATATACGCCTTAGAAATCAGGTAATAAATAAACCGCTGCGATGATAACCCTCGAGTCTTGGCTATTTAACAGTGGGTTTCTTAGAATAAAATCCCATTTAAAACATATTGTTATTTGTTTTGTTAAATATCATGACAGAGATGGCGATATGTTTCATCCAGAGATTTTGATATCAGAAACCAACAATTAATGAGTGAAATATGCTATTTCCTATAAGTTGTTTTCTTTCTAGGTCGATAAAAGCGATACTATGATACAAGACGGATTGGATAATAACAGTCTTATAAGTACAGGAATTTCTATAAAAATGGAACGTAAAAATTATAACGAAAACGATGATTCTAATGACGTTGAAAATTGCAATGAAATTGAAGAATCGAATACACAATCTGTCAGTAAACAATGCGATGAATATTACCATTGGGCGATGGCTCTTGCAGGGGATATACGAAAAATGGACACAACACAGCAAATCTATGCCAAGAAAGCGATAGCCGAAGTTATAATGGAAGGACAATTAGGATTGTTACATCGTAATTCAATAAAAATAAACGAAGATCCACTTTAGAACCAATAAAAAAAATTGAATACATATCATGCGACATAATTTTTTACCTTTGCCGCCTTTATTAATTGCCATTATTATTTATCACCCGATGACACGAGGGTAATGTTTTTCGTGTAGGTATTTTTGTACTTTTATGTATAAGTAAAAGCTAGCCTAGCTATAGCTATCTTACTTCTTACTAATATTATAAAAGTGAAAGATTAGATGGATGGATGTGTGAATGTATCTCCGAAACAGCTCAAACAATTTTGATGGAATTTGGCACAGATGTAGAACATATACTGAACGAATTAATAGGCTACTTATTGTTTTTTTTTAATTCCGCGCGGACGTAGTCGCAGACCACAGCTAGTATAGTGTACAATCGAAAGGCTTCTATAAAGTTAAACAATTGTCAAACAATTACCATGGTAAATCTTCGGTGGGCGTGCCTGTGCATATAATATGGGAGCCGATAGACAACGGCTCTGTCAAGGTCTGAGTGAACTTTACATCGCGAGCTTCAGCCAGCTGAGTCTACAACAAACATACACAATTGATTAATTAATTTTGTTTAAAATAATTTGATACTAAAAATACAAAGCTATTAAATTATATTCCTTTACTTATTTCTCACAGAGTACTTCAAAATTTAACGCCATTAAAATCATTATTTTTTTTAGAAAACATGTAATAATAAATTGTAATGTAGTGACGTAACAATAGGTTTTTGTACATGTTATTCTGCGGTAGAAACTGTTACTTAAACATTAACTTGACTGACAAGAACATAATGCATTAGCAAATTAGTTAAGCAGTACCAATAACTAGCCAGTTAGCCTACTTAACATGTTAAAGTTACGAAGAAAAAAATACTTACGATCGTAAACTTATAGTTACAAATTCAAATAGTGATCAATTGAGTAGGGGGTTGGAAATTTGTTTCCTTCTCTTAACTATTTTAGGATAAAACCTAAACTCTGTTACTATCATGTAAGCAAACAAACATTAAAACATATTTAGATATGATTACAGTAGATATACCGTTCTGCAAATAATCAAGGCAATGGCTATATGCCAAAACTACATTACGACTTTTGTACACCCATTATTAAAATTCTAATAACTTCAAATCATAATTCAGTTCTTTGTGAATATTACTTCTTAATAATATTATAAATGTGAATGTTTAGATTGATGGATAGATGGTTGGATGGATGTATGGATGTTTGTTTGAAGGTATATCCACAACGGCTGAACGGATGTCAATGAAATTTGGCATAGATATAGAACTTAGTTAGTAGAACACATAGGCTACAAATAAAGTTTTTTTTAATTTGTCGCGGACGGAGTCGCGGGCGACCTCTAATATATTATAATAGTGAAAATTGTGAATGAACTACAGCTTATATAACATAAAAATATTGTAGTTATCCTTGACATATGTAAAGTTATTTATATACAGATTATAATTTTGATTATATACTCAAACATTTTTAATAAATTAATTATAGTCACTGCAAATAATGAAGCATACAATTTTATCGTGGGTACCAACATTGTAAGTTACCTTCGTTGCGCGATGAATCATTGCTATGAAGTCATCGGTATACAGATTGTCTCTAATTGGAGCTATGGCTTGTTTGATAAGGAGGCTAGAGGTTACACCGTGAATACCAATGTATTTAATGCACCACGAAGTATATCCCCTTGTACCTTTTAGAATTCCGTTAACGCGTTCACTGTCAAAGACTACGTGCAGGTTCGATACAATATTTAAAATATTAAGTGCTATTAAACGTATTAAGTTAGAGATATTATGATCTTTAGATGAAATTGTATGTAAGAAACACATGGCTCTTTAGTAAGCTTAGCCTTGGAATGATGACCTCAATATCTGTATAAAACATAACGTCGTCCCTGACATTATCTTTGACAACACAGACACATACAGGAGATTTTGGACTCGGAAACCTACGGTAAGAGAGTTAAGTTACAACTCTTTTGGAATCTAAGCCATATCTTAAGTGAAGTTACTATTGATCTATTTACTTAAAAGCCTGTTCAAGTAAAAAAGCCACGATAACTTATTTTCTGGTGTGCCTTATGCTAATCTGTCAACAAGACTATGAAGATCGAACGCGTGCCAAGAACCTAGTTTAGGATGCATTGTGTGATAAAGTATCATTGGCTTCGTAATTAAAAGACTAACAAGTTTCATTCAAGCACCAAAGAGATCTCTTGTAATTTAATTTGCATTCCCATACGTCATATCAAATAAGTAAATTAATAAATCCAATTAACTGCTATATACAATTATTATTTACTTTACTTTCATCAATAGATAACATTATTAAAAGCCTACTTTTACATAAATTTTAATGAACATTTAACAAAGTATACTTTGACTCATGGTTAAGGGAATTAACAACAATTTTATAACTAACACCCCTATACAAACCTAGGGTCGAAAGTTTGCGTGAGTTGAGGCAATCAATAGTTTTATCCGACAATCGTAAACATTAAAGATTTAGGTCATGAGGCACATAATGGCAAGGAAAATAAAAAAAACTTTGTATATAGTGCAATGACATCATTTCACGCCACTCGTTCACCTTCAGACCGAAATACACCAGGGATTGAGGTGTCACGCAACGTGTTAGGGGTTTACATAAAGTAAACAAAAAAATTAATGATTAATACATGATAGAAATATTTACGATATTAAAGCCCGGCTTCTGAGATTCGTTAAATTGTTAACTATTATTCGACAAGACAAATAACATTTTCAATTTTGTACTACGTTAAGTTTTAAATATGTTGTAATAGTTTTTGTGAAAGGACAAGAAAACGTATTGTTTTAAAACAAAGGAGCCAGATTAAGGTTGACAAAACATGATAAAATATTCATTTTAAAAACCTTGATGATCAATTGTGCTTTGCTCAAAAACATTCATGAAAAAAAATTAAATCTTTTGGTTTCAATCCTTATTGTGAAATACTGTCATAATATAAAAAGGTATTATAATCTATTTATAGACATCAAGTAAACGATCTCAGATATTCTGGAGTTAATAACCGTTGGTTTTTGAGACCAAATCTCTTTATAAAACATATTATCATCCCTATCATTATCTTTGACAAAACCGAGATGAAAATATGATTTAAACAGGGATATTAGTCTCAGAAACCCACGGTAAATCGCCTAATTTTATACCACTGGTTTAAGGTTCGATCTCCGCTAACTATAGATGTTTGTCAAAACATTAAAAACTAGATTAAGATGAAATTTTCAACGATTTATAAGTTCACTAGACTTTTGATAGAAAGTAGTTTGACATTTTTATCGTATTCATGGAAATAAAATAAGATAAATGATGTCCATAACTGATTACGATTTTTTAAACGAAACATGACTAAAATGACTCAAACATATTAAATACATTTTTCCTTAACATTATCCTTAATGTCTATGCTTTACAAATATTTAAACTAAATAATATGTTTCATTATTAATGGTTAAAGTACCACATCCATGTTAATCACTTATTAACCCATTTCTATTACAAATCATCGCAAAATTTGTAACTACCTACAAGACTTATTCAAACTTTCGTGAGACATTATACTAAACTGATATAAAAACCGCTAAACACTCACGTATATTCGTCCGGTGGTGGCACCGACTAGTTTCGAAAAAAATATCAGTACCACTCATCCTGATGAAGGGCCTTCGATGGGCTCGAAACTAGTCGGTGTCGCCACCGGACGAATATACGTGAGTGTTTAGCCGTTTTTATATCAGTTTACCTACAAGACATTGAAAACTTGTAAATTTAATTTCATTACTTTGTATACCAAGTAATCAGTTATTCTTTACAATAAATACGTACATTACCACAGTCCCACAATGTGTTAGATACGTGTAACAAATATAGTGCATTTACACAATTCTTTTTGCATTACCAAAGTAATAGGTGATGAATCTCCATTAATACTACCACTTCGCGAGCGGCCGCGGCAAAATATACGCCGGCAAAACGCACCGCAACCGCAACGACCACCACACACCATCTTTATAAACAATCCACAAATAATTTCACACTATGTCACGTAATAAACGATGCTACACGAAAATAAATCGCTATTTACCGATTAGTGGGTCAGTTACGTCTGTTACCCGCGAGAGACCGTCTTGTTATGATGCCATTGCCAATTCTTAGCAAACGGTCGCAACTGCGATGGATATATCGAAATTCTCTTTCTCAAGAATTGTTATCGTATGTTTACATTGCAGTGCTAACTACTGTTAGAAAATCGTTATAGAGGATAAATTGTAAATAAACATAATACAATTTAATAAAAACGTCTGTTAAAATTAAACGGGGTAAGCAGTATTAGCAATAGCTAACAGAGAACTTTAATAGAACGCTTACGAAGCTAAAAATAAGAACTCATTCTAAAGGAATAATTGGGATTTAATTCCATATGCTGAGTTCATAACATCAATTGGAGATAACTTTTAATACACTGAACCCATAATAGTTATTTACAATGCCGGTATAATAAAAACCTGATCGGCTTAACCTTAGCACGTAACCGTTTATCGTAGCCTTAATAGTCACATAAAGATAAGTTATCTTAGATCTTTAGTAGAAGCGATCAGTCTTAAATCTATTCGGAAATGTAATCTTTAATCCAGTCTTGTTATAGTTATTACTCTGTGTTAAATATCTTAAAGAAATATATCAACTGATCCACTAGGTCACATTTTTTTGGCTGAATAGCGGTTTTTATTGATAAACTTCCTTTATCGATACGGAATTGAGAACTTGTGATTGTTAGCGAAGGCCAAGGGCACTGAAGCAATAATCTCAACTTACAAATAGTAGTGTTAAGCGAATACAGGGGGCCTAGCACGAACGAGTGAGAACGTTTTCGGAACGTTACGAATTCTCGCAACTATCACACAAATATTTGTGATAGAACCTCAGTCCTCGAATTTATAACATGGATGACTAGTTTTACAAAATAAATATAAAATCATTATCACTTACGAACGGTTTTAGAAGACAGACGTTTGTGTTTTCCATTTGTTACGATCTTACTCTTCATAAATCTTTTAATAATTTTAAGTATATATCTCTCTCATATATTTATAACGTCAGAGAACACAAGATAAAAACTCAAAAACTACTATATCCACATGTTTAACTTCACGTATTCTTATTATTAATACAACTTCTGCCATTCTTTGATCAGAAAAAAGCACTGTGGAGGAAACGACATTTTAAGTGACAATTTAAAATTTGAAACCGGTAAATACTTGACCTTGAGTGGGCCACTGACCTTCCGGCAACACGATGCTTTGTAATTGTGCGTTCTAACAAGTGATCACATTCTTTTTTTTAAATTAAACATATTCAGTGATTTGCGTAGGTATAGCTTTTTTCAAATATGTTGGCACCCACTCCGATTACTGTTACGTCTGAAATTGTGTTCTGAACAGCGAAACGCGCAAAATTAAGTGCCGGCAAGATATCTGAAAACTATAATACATGGAAGTTTATGAGTATACTGTCTATTTTTATAAAAATAAATTTTGTTAACCTTTTCTCACTCTCGCTCCTTTTCTTTCTAGTAAAAATGAGATTACAGCCCATTTCATATGAATGTTTAGGAATTTAACTGCTTAAGCCCTTGTGAGACATCATTATATGCTATTAAAAACTACTTTCATGCTGTTACATAGAAACTAGTTGGTGTCAACACTGGATTATATATATATGTATAGCCCTTTTTAATTAATTTATAGTGTTTAGGAAATGGCAATAGCCTGCTACACACAATTTAATGGTATGCAGTTAAACCGTACAGTTAAAACCGATGTGACTAGGCATAACTGAAAATTATACAGTTCAACTGACTTAAATAAGCATTTCATTAGATGTTCAAACCTGAACATGTGTGGCAAAAAACTGTGCAGTCATCAGTTTAGTTATTCACAATGAGTTTTCACTGTCATAACACTTGTTTAATGCATTCAAGTTAGATTATCTTGAAGTTAACAGATTTTTCTGAAATTTGGTACGCACTTTTGGGCCTGATGACAATGCCATTTTTTTACATTTAATACCATTGTAAATCCAAAGTGGCCGCCATTACAATATGAGACCAATCACCCAAACATGGATATCAAAAAGTAAAATTTTATACAAAAGAAATTGAATAAAAACTCAGAATGAATTGTTTAAAAATAATTTTTAGTATTGCTTGTGTCAAAGGAAATGTACATATGTTTTATTTACAGTCTTTTATATTTTATGTCCGAGCATATGTGACTTCAAGTGAAGACACTTTACAATAGATTAATCTGAATGTGTGTAGGCACAAGGTCCTGTAGTTTTGACTGTACAGTTATAATAGGACTAGTTTTTTACGAATAGATACGAGTTTGTGTGTTCTGTCACTATTAAAATAATGCTATTAATATAATTAAATTGTGAAGCATTTTCATTTTCATGAAAATTCAAATTGTGGTTGTAAATACGGTTATTTACTAGGGTTTGATAAAATGAAATTATCTTTACATAATACAAAAATGTTATAAATTTTTGGCATCGACTACTAAATTATATATTTAATTTTCTTATCTCAGTGGCTCTAACCTCGTAGTCCAAGGCATCTTCAGCGAAATCAAATTCTACAGCTTCTCTAGGCAAAAGTCCTTCTTCCACACTATAATCCATTTTTATACAATTTACACATTTAAAAACATCACCAGGCATATTTAAACAATCAAAGTCGCACTTAAAAATATGTTATGGAATCTAGTTAAAATTATCATGGCACGTTTTTATATTAAACTTACTAAACAATTTCTATACTGTTAATTTATGTATTTAAAATATATTTTCTTTATCTTATAAACCTATGACAACAAGTACTTTGTTGTGATTTTTAAATATGACACATCGACATCAATGATGACATTGACAAATATTGTCTAGTAGGATTTGGTAGGAATGTTGATGATCACTGACCATCATTGTTAATAAACGAATGGCTCTTACATACGTTGTTTAACATTGTGGGGAATAGTGTTGGCCAAATGGCTATCTTCTACATCGGATGTTCCTGTTTATCCCCTACTACTTTTGGATGATAGACTGCTGATAGTGCTGCGGCAACACCGATTTCGGGTTACAGTGGTCAGCAAGGCAGCTAAATGTTCCTTCGAGCCGGATTTAGCTGCGTTGTGTACTGCCCACTTAACTCCGGGATTGAGCCCTTCATAGTACTTTGTTGTGGCAACATAGGATTATGGCGAGTTCTAGCCACCGGGGCCACATATTGACCAAGTTTAATTTTAAACTATTTATTTTTCAAATTCCATTTCTTTTCCAAACTCTATCTTTAAATGGTTTACAGTGAAATTATAATAAAAACACAATTCTTTGGTATATATTTTATTTATTGGAATGTTACTTAATTTGCTACATAGAGAAATGATGCACAGATCCAGTATAATTAAACTAAAATCTGCAAAACGTTGGGAGTGAGGGAAAAGTCGTCCAAAATATTTCGTAATCATGGCGGTTAACAAAAACGCTTTGGCTCTGTGATACAAAAATGTACATACGAGAAGGACGCCTAGTTAAATACAAATACCTATAATTATCATCAAATGGTGGGAAGTTTTTTTTTTATTTCATACGAAGCAATTCAGATAATCCTGCGTATTTTGTATAGTATAAGGTGGCAATCGAGCAAGCGGGCAAATAAATTTGCCAAAATAGCAAAGTGACCGCATATACAACATATCAGTCACAACAACATATATATATTGATAACATATAAATATAGCAATAACATAGTATGATTATACAGAGTGATCTAACGGTATAGATAAATACATCAAAAATTGATTACAGCACCTATTTTATTACCAAGAAATTTTAAGTATCACTTTTATTGAAAAAGCATTATTCGTATATTATAACAGCAAACATACTTCGTCAATTATACAGCAAAAATGTTTAAAAACAGTACAATTAATAAATATTACACCAAACAATATCTTATACTTTTTAATTTTAAATTGTTTAAAGACATCAAAAACAATTGACATTTGTGCTCATAAATATAATGTAACAAAAATACTTAATGAAACTTATATGTCAACTTATTAGGCCGAAAAAAATACCATAATTAATAAGAGAATAGTCGACCTTTAATTACCTAAGTTCGTATATATAAAAAGTTCACGTACAGAGAATATAATATTCAGTTTTGCCTTTAATCAAAGATATGAGCCAGTGAGAGAGGCGCTGCTATCGTGGTTAGTTCTGTCTGAAAAATGTAAAAATATGACAAAAGAAAAAAAAAAACGTGCCAGCTACAGTGCGAAAAGGAACTTGTGGCACTTTTTGACATTGACAAAGTGGCGCTAGTGAGCTGTCATAATTTAGTTTCATTTATGCCCACCGGGTCATGGTTATCGGTCTACGAACTTAGTTTTTTTACATCATGAAGTAAAATAAATACCACTGAGATGTCAAAGTAAGCTAAACTTGATTTTGAATCTATATTTAATATGTTGAAAAATGCTGCCATAAAATGTAACAACCTTCAAACGTAAATGTCTAAGATACAGTCACAAACATATTTTAAGTATTAGAAAAAAATAAAAAAAGACTTAAACTAATAAAGCTTTCATTTCATCATGATATTCTAATCTTATAAAATAAATGGTCTGTACAAACCTACAAACATTACGAATTCAGCAGTATTGGTTTTCATATTGTTTTTAGATATCCCAAAGAAAGTAAACAGTATCCGGAATATATTAATATTAATTCCATTGGTTTGTTCCAACATTGAATTAAAAAATTTAATATTTTTTTAAATATGTATTTAATTAAATGTGATTCTCAGTTGGAATATCCATTTTTTGTGTTAGTTTATTGATATTGAAATGTTTGACTTAATGATTGTCTAAAAAGCAGCTTTGTGCTAACGAAACATTCATACTGTACTAATATTTGGCAGGTTCAAGTCTGTTTACAAATAACAAATTACGTTCTAAACTCTTATATATATTTTTTTTAAATTAGGTTATTTAAATTCATACTGCACACAACTCGAGTCTCGAGACGAATGAAGACGCTGTTCCAAATTAAGATTTCAACATTGTATACAAATGTGTTA